TTTTTATGAGTAGCTGCTACCCGTTTTTATGCGTTTTTGCCTATACGCAAATTGCAAAAACGCGTACTGCAACGACCTTGTCTGTGTGCGTATGTTTGTGCGTGTGTGTGTGTGTGTTCGTCTGTTCGGGTATTTCAACTCGGCAATCAACCAAGTTCCAGCGCCAAGATTTTGCTAATGTGTACCCTTGCCAAGTGCCATCCCAGAACCGCAGTACCAGCCTCACGCACGTCTGGGCTCCGAAGGGGTGAAAGTTTTGGCGGGAAAATTGATAACTCGGGAACGAGAAAAGATAAGAGGCTGAAACTTTGGGAATATGTGCCCATGGCAAGCGCGACTTTTCCGTCTAAATATCATCTCCCGCGAGCTTCTGGGTGCCGTATACGGACGCTTTAAAGAAATATGCAAATTTTTTGGCGGAAAAGCGATCCCGGGAACCAGACGAGATAAGGGGATGAAACTTTGTAGGGATATTCAACGTGGATGTGCCAGTTTAAACATTTCAAATTCAGCTCTCAGGCGTGCGTGGTACTCACGTAAGAGTGTAGAGAAGTTTTAGCGGGGAAACTGCTAACTTAGGGACCGGGAAAGCTAAAAAGCTGAAATTTTGCGGGAATGTTCCCTATCCAGCTGCAACTCAAATATTTCAAATTCAGCCCAGAACTATGCATGGTACTCACGTAAGGGCGTATGAAACTTTCTGCGGTAAAACTACTAGCTCGGCAACCAGAAAAGCTGGAAAGCTAAAATTTTAGGCGAATGTTCCCTGTCCAAGTAAAACTTAAGTTTTTCAAATTCAGCCCCCAGCTATGCACTGTACTCACGTAAGGGCGCATGAAATTTTCTGCGGTAAAATTACTAACTCGGGAACCAGAAAAGCTAAAAAGTAGAAATTTTAGGGGGATGTTCTCTGTCCGAGTACAATTTAAGTATTCCGAATCCAGTCCTGAGGTATGCGTGGTTCTTAAGTACGGGCGCTAAAAATTTTGGCTGAATTTCTGACTGAACAACTAGGTTATTTATAAAAAAACGATCGCTAAATAGAAATTGTACATTTACTTTATGCAAATTTTATGGTGATTTATGCTAGTGACTGCAAAAGGTAGGTGCGCAACAACCATTCATGCAATTAATGACCTGAGTACTTCAAGTCTGGTACAAGAACGCATGATCGCACGGGCCTGCCCGGTACGTTCCAGTCTGTGTTACACTTGTTTCCGCACAAAGCGTATTTCGAAGACACAATCAGACTCGATTTTATGGTCTGTTCTGAATTTAGGGGTTGTTATCTTCCAATGGGTCTGATTTTACATTTCACATGAAAACTCAAGAGTTTTTCTCAGAAATTAATAAAATAGCCACGGTAGAACCAGAGACATCTCTATAAGCTGCATATCAGATCCTGTGATACCTCTCAGGCCTACAATATGGCAAGACTTTAAATTTTACTGCAATGCCCGATCTCTGGCATGTGAAGTGCCAAAAAATGAGATTGGAAAAGTAATCCATTCGGCAGTAAAGAAAGAGTCGCACTATGTGGATAAAAAGCCGTAGAAAATGAGAACTGATCTGTAAAATAGATTTTGAGGGGTCACGGGGACGCTTTGGGAGCATGCACAAGCAAATACGCCTCTGTTGTTGGCATTATCAAACAAGTTTAAATATCACTGTGAGAATGTCATTTCACGCATTTCCACTCGCTGCTGCAAGCGACCACGAATGTCTAGCGGCATATTGACGTTGCCCTGATTTTCATAAAGCTGCTCCAGAAACGGAGCTCAGCTTTCTGAACTCAACTTTCACTTTCTTAGTACTGACGTTTGGCTCTCTCTGTACGAATGCAAGAAGTGCTACAACTTCAGGACAATATAAATGGTAAGCTTCAAATTTTATTTTTGCTGGCAAAAATGCTGCCAATAATCTTCATTCGCCTTTTTGTTCTGACTGTTGAATATAAATAGATGGATGTCAGGTCAACCTAAAAAATTTGCAGCAGCTAGTCGCAAAAATGCTTGATCAAGGCATCGAATTCTGCAGTCTGTTGTTTTGCTATTTTTAACATTTGTTGACTTTGGTCATTTCTGTGCGTAAAATTCTTGACCTTTTCGTGGAAAATGCGATATGGATGGGGCTGCGTTTACTGTCCTTAGTTAAGGTAATTAAGTTGCGACGTCCGTAATATGCTGCGCATATCGCCATCACTATTTCTCGCTTGTTTGGTTCCTAAGGTATCTTACTTGTGTTTTTGGGAAGGAATTTTGAATTCATGGTGTTTGCCGAATTGTTCGACCGATTAATCCTGCGCTTGTTTTCTTCAAATGCTGGTGAGTCAGATGAAATTTGAAGCAAACGCTTACAATGCCCTTTTTTAATGGCATATTATATCAGCGAATAAAGGAAAACAATACACATACAAGCTGAGCTGCTACGAGTTCTGCTCATAACAAAACCAGGAGTACCATGGGCACCGCCTAAGTATATGAGTAATGGCGAAGTATTTTCAGTGCCTCACTAAATAAGTACCCACACGTTTCCCAAAAACTTCTGGATAACGAGAGGTCAAAGCATTCTCCGGTCTAAATAATTCCCACGAACAGGAACTAGTCACTGTCACATATTACTGGTTATCACGAGACAGCCATGTAAGCCGAAAAAGAATTAAAATAAAAACATCTGTTAATCACAATTCAAAAACCGAAAATTAACAAAGTGATGAATATTCTCACAATCCACTTCATGGTGGTGCCACAGAAAGCAGCATCGCCTTCAACACAGAACCCTTCAGCCTCCTCCTTCTCGTCATTCAACACTGTCCTCATCCTCCTCGGAGACTTCGGTGTCCTCGGAGTCACTGTCATCTACAAAAAAACTGAAAGAGTAGTGATTTGGACTAGATTTAGTTCCGGGCTTTTACAGCACTGCTGCTTGTGCCGCTGAGGGAGAGGGGCTAAAAAGTCTTTGTTCCTTCCCCTACCCACCCATGCTCTCCGGACCCGCCTATGCTCTTCAAAACATACTGTGGTATTTTTTAGTCCCGAAAAACATCTACAACTCCTTACAAAAGCCGTGGGGTCCTCCTGATGCTCGGTCTTTCTCGTCATTGTCGCCAGTTGCACAGCTGAACCTCTTTATTAGCCATAACCTTGGCACTGTTTGTAAGCCATAGTGTTCAACCTATCATTAAGTATGGTCGAAAAGCAAGTACCGGATTCGTCTTCCTCTGTGCTGCTGTCTGAGTCTGTTTCCACTTCAGAATCAGAATCGGAATAACTTGATTCGCTGGAGGAGCCGCTCGAATCGGATTCTCTCGTGTCATCAGACAACAGAAGGAGCCCGATTGACGAAAGTGAAAACTCGTTGTAAATGCAGACCAATCTGTCTTTTAGATGTGTGACTGCATTAACTGAAGCGAGAGATGCATTCAGATTACTCTGTGACTTTGCTCAGCTGCTAACTAACCGCGGTATAATTTTCTACCGTCGGCTTCTGCCGGCTTCAGTTTCTCCTTTTAGTTTTTCCACCAAGAGACATCCTGGGTGGGCTAAGTTCCCATTTCTACTTTTAGGGCTTCAGAGCTCACTTGGTAACTGGAAAGGCTAATTAGAAATGACAGCCACCACCCAATTCTCGGCAAGTTCCAATCTCAAAACAATAAAGAAAACCCACTGGTGACGCAACAATTCTTATCAGTGAAATGCTTAAGTGATCAGAATATCATAATAAATAACTGCAAAAATATTTCACAGACCCTATTTTTCGTTTCAAAACATTTAGATTAAATGAAACCATACCTCCATTGCTTGCGAGCCCCGAAATTGAGACTGCGAGATCTTTGTTAATGCCCGCAAGTCTGCCCATCACAGTTCGAGTGGTTGTTACTGAAATATTGCAAAATTTCACTAACAAGAACTGTGAAACGAGCGCTTGCTGCTGGAATATGCTGCCTGAACATGAATGCCTTTGAACTTCGCTTGCAAACTGCATATCTGGATTGAGTCACAAGAGCAGTCGTGCTCAGCCATGCGGCTTCTAACGGCTCTAGTGATGATAACAACTGCCAACAGCAACACCCGCTGCAAAGCAACAGTTCAGTCTTCAAGAGTTGCTTATGAAGGGTTTGAGACTTCTTGGCAAATGCCGTACCAATTTACCATTGGTACGAATGAATGAACCACAGCAGAATTGTTTGTCCACCATGCAATCGAACCTTGGACCTACTGCACGACAACAGTACTACCGCATTATGCTATGTTTGCCGGCGCCCAATCACTGCTACTCACAGAAGTTGTAGTACTCATTTTTCGCCCCGGACAGTAGCAGCCGTAGACTGATGGGCAACAAGCAATGCAGAAGACTATCAGGACTGACCGTTAAGGATATTCCTCGCGGATTTCCATTTTTTCACATGACTCTGAACATAAGTTACGAACACGTGTTGGAATCTAAGTACAAGGAATGTGCCTTTTCCACTGCTTCGACAAAGTATGATTGTAACTCAGGATTTACAGAGAAGGACTTAGATTGGAAATTGCTGCGTTACTTACCGTGATCCTTGGACACATTTGTTGCGCCAGGACCACGGATATTTCCATCAAAAATTTCATTCAGATTTTCCTCGTCTTTTTCAGCTGCTGCATCACCACTTTCCTAAAAAACAAGATAAACAACGAAATATACCATCTTTCTAAGAAGCATTTTTTGCAAGACATTATATGTCTGGAGGAAATAGTCGTACACTTACTTCAGCACTTGTGTCGCCAGCAGCTTTGCCATTTTTGAAATCAGAAAGTTCACTGTCCGCTACACCATCACCCCATGCTGCAGCATTAGCAGCATGCATACGTTTAGCGCATGGCAAGTGCGATGTCGTGTCGATTGCTAAAAATCATTTTTTCACTGCATGAGTAAGTAAATGAGCGAAGAAATGGATGAGAGGATGAATCTGCAAAATACTTCCTAGAATTTCATACATTTTTGTACTACTGATACAGCGCAAAAAATCGAGCTAGGAGTCGTTTGTGTACTTGCCCGTATGGCTACTATTTCAACTGCAGAACTAGGAAAGCTGAAAAACTGAAATTTCGTGCATAAATGGGCTTCCGGCCATTGTGAAACCAAGAGTTTGTAACCAATTTTCAGGTCTTTGATATTTCGGAACCTTTGACCTCGGGTTTGATTTCAAACCCAGATTCCAGTTATGCATGGTACCCACATACGGGCCAACCAAAGTTTTTTTCGGGTAAGTTGGTAACTCGAAAAACTGAAAACTTAGAAAGCTGTAATTATGCGTTTTTGCATAATATGCAAATGCAAAAACGCGTATTGTGACGACCCCGGTGTGTGTGTGTGTATGTGTATGTGTGTATGTGTGTGTGTGTATGTGTATGTGTGTATGTGTGTGTGTGCGTTTGTCCGGATATTTCAACCCGGCACCTGAGCAAGCTCCGGCGCCGAAATTTTGCCAGTGGATTCCCCACCCAATTGCCACCCCAGGACCGCGGCATCAACCCTCAAGCACGTCTGGGCCCCGCGTACGAGCGAGTTAAAGTTTTGGCGGGAAAACCGCTAACTCGGGAACCAGAAAAGCTAGAAAGCTGAAATTTTG